CCTGTTGTATGGATTCAGTTACGTATTGTATTTTCATTAATTTTCATTGTGAAATAGAGTTTGTACTCGTAGTCTTGTTGCTTTTGCGATTCTCCACACGACATTTTGTCAAAGACTGAAATGTAAATAATAAAATAGTATAAGATATTATGACTATGGTGACAAAATTATCGCGTTATCTGTTGGCAGTCGGATTCTACTTTATAGACTACAGATTACAGATTACTAATGGATTTATATTAGGTGAAGATACCCACTGTGCAATCTAAATTACAAAATGTTGCTGCAATGTTAAGTTTCGATCACAATGAATTGTTACAAGTAACAATAATGCAATGTCCTATAATTGTTCCATAATAATAATACCAAATATATCATCAAGTAACATTACTGAAATGTAAAAATACACATTTATGCAATGTTACAAATTAATATTCATTCAATGTTTATATTATTGCATTGAAATAATCTTTTTTACCTGTAATACGGCAATACATTCTTCAATTATAATATTATTACTTTATAATTTTACAAATATCTTTAAATAGCTATATCCCATTGTTATAAACACTATCACTGGATTTTCAATTCAGTTTCGGGAAGCCGAACCCAAAGACGACCGGCGCTAAATAATAACTAGCAAATATGATAATGTGTGAATCTTTATTTTATTTGTTAGTCTTTGCGTCAAGTGCCGAAGACTGTGTTCAGAATAATTACAATATATACAAGTCATAATAATCCATGTAAGTATTTCAATTATTATTTTTTAAGATTGTTCGTATTCTATTGTTTTTCTCTAACATATTTTTACGTTAATTGGTATTTTTATTATTTACTCGTCTCAGTCGTCTCTACAGAAAGAAATGAATTTCCAAAGTAGTGAATTTTCTACTCCTGTAGCTGTAAGACAGGTAATTATGCTTATGTTTTGTAGTTAATATTTTTTTCATATATTTTTACATAGGTATAACATTTTTTGTCGTTTAAGAATTAAAAATTAAGTTTAAGATTGTTATTTTTTAGTTAAACTGTTGTAACTTTTTTAGTTGGTAGTAATCGGTAGGTATCATTCACATTGACTTTTATTAATAATTTATTATTATTAATTTTGCATACATTGTTGTAGAAAATCAAAAAACGATGGGTAATCGCTACATTTCCTGACAGTAATGATTACAGTGTTATACCAACAAATTGGGTTTTAAAAACAGTCGATAATGATGGCAACACATTTGATAAATGTGTATGGCCGCCTAGAACGTTTCATGTTACTAGCGATTTTTTAAAAGAGGCTGTGGAACCGTCAGATAATTGGATCACTTATAAAATAAAACTATATGAAAATGGCAAAGAGTATAGTATGTATTTATTATATATATATATATAGTATTAATGAAAATGAACCTAGGCTAGTACATAAAGCTAAATTTATTATATTTGTATTAACAATTTGTAGGTGATTTCAGTAAAGCATGGTATAAACATGTTGCTTTATCTGAAGAATCAGCATCTGAAGTTGAGCAACAACTTTTAACTATGAAGAATAAAAATAAAAGGTTATATGGCCAATCTTCAATGATGCTCGAAGATTCTGATACTTCGAGTGATGAAGGTAATCAATTAATTACTTTTTTTATAACAGCTTAATTATTTTATTTTTAATTATAGGTGTCAACATTTTTCAACAAAAAAAAAATTATTAAAGGTCCACAAACTTTAGATACCATTTCTGAGCATCAGTATACTGATTTAAGTACCGTAAATTGGGGCGACTTTGATAAAGTTTGGTGATTTTTTTTGTTCTTTTACTTATAGTTTTTTTAATACTTATGCTACAGATCTCAAAATAATGTCGTCGTATCAAGTACTATTTTACCAACATTCCTATTTTTTTTTTTTTTTTTTTTAATGAATAGTTTTTTTTTAATAATTTTTTTAAAGTAGCTATCAAAGTCAAACGGAGTTTGGGGTGACTTTGATACCCCTATTTGTTTTATTGTTAAACTAGTGGTAATGGTATGAAAGTTATAAATCTCAAACCATTTTAAATTTGGTCAAATAGTTTTTGAGTTATAACATAAAATGTGTTATGGGGTGAAATTGACATGCATATTTTATTTGTTTAAATAAAAAAAATACATAAAATAGTATTTAAGTGGATAATAATTTATTAAGTTGACTAGGTAACTCAGTCTTGTGAAACAGTACAAATATAATAATAGTTTCAAAGTTAAAAACAAAATAAAACAAAATATTAAAATATAAAAATATAAATAAATTAATTTAAATATATTTATATTGGCTTAACTAGTTACTAGGAAGTCTTGAGATTAGGTACAATACCTTAACTGTCTGAACACACAGGAGAATAAAACAATTTTTAAATAAAAATACAATACAAAACAAAACAATACTAAATATATATAACAAGTTGTCTTAACAAGTATAACAGTTAAACATAATAATTTCTAAAATTGAAAAACAAAATAAAATATAAATAGGTACATTAATTTAAATATGTTTTAATTGACTTAGCTAGGAACTTACTAGGCAGTCTTGAGTTTATAATACATTGGTAACAGACTGAACGTACAGTTTAACATTACAGTCACAATTCACATTACAGTCTTCAGTTACTACTTACTATGCCTCTCTGACATCAGAGAGTGGCTGTAAAAATATATAATTTGCATCTTTTGTCAGTTTAGGTGTTTTTAAAATTGCAATAATATGTATTATATCAACATCAAATACATCATCATCTTGAATTTTGAAAATCTGTTTAATGTCATCTAATGATTTAAGACCATTTAGTGTATATATATTATTAACAATACTCTTAATAACAGCTGCATATACATAAATAGTCTTTTTTCGTTTTCCTAACTGAACATTGACCAATACAAAATCACCAATTTTTAAATTATCTTTGGTTGGTGTTTGATAATCTGGAATCACATCTTCATTTTCTACCTCATTTTCAGAATCTGTGTTAATGTATGGAATAACTGCATCATCATCACTATCTGTGTTTAAAATGGCCGAAGTCACACTCTGTCCTGGAGCAATATTAATTTTTTTTCTTTTTCTGTTTTTATCTGTTTTTTCAAATCTTTTATCTTTTAAATAATTTACAACAATATCATTAATATTAGGGTAATCTTCTTTTGGTAATTTTTGTAATATAGCATTACGATCTAATGGAAAAATTCCAGTGGCACGAAATGCAGATTCTAAATTGCTTGATATGCTTCCTACATCATTGATTCGTTGAAGACAACTACTTACCAACGCTGGAAAAGATGACTTCGGAATAGATTGCATCTTTGTATTACGATTTTTCCATTCGTTTAAACAAAATCTCCAACTTTGTTTTAAAGGCCGGAAAAAACACACATCTAGTGGTTGAGTTAAATGTGTTGCATTTTTAGGTAAACACACAAAATCAATACCAGAATCCTCACACTGTTGTATTACTTCCGGATTGAAATGAGATGCTAAATTGTCTCCTATCAATACTTTGCGCCCAGTCAAACGGTTTGCATGTGGCAAAAATAAAGTGAAAAACCATTCTTTGAAAGTAATACCATCCATCCATCCGTGTGGTGTACAATTATACCTGGTTCCTTTTGAGCAGCAAGGACTCTCACAGCATGGAGATCCTTTGGGTCCTTCATTTGTCCAAGACTCCCACAAATTTTTTGATTTATAAATGATGTATGGTAGTAATAGAATACCACTTGCTGACCCACATACCATTATTGTGGTGGCACTTTTAGAGTGGTTTTGAACTTGTACAGGATATTTTGTACCACGCTTGAACAAAAATTTTTTTTTACCTGGATCATCCTGGAGGTTGGTCTCATCATAATTGAAAATATTATCAGCAGGTATATCTTTTAATACTGAAGACAAATTATCAAAATATAAATTTATTGTAGCAGGGGAGACTTCGGCGCGACATCGAGAAATGTTTGTTGTGATTCTTTGAGTTAGTGTATTGTGTCTTTTTAACAAACTCCTTGCCCAATCATCACCTGGAAGGTTATCCTTAAATGTTTGAACTATTATTCCTCTTTTGTCTAATGATGTTTTTGCGATTAATCTAAATCAAGATAATTATAATTAATTTTAAGACTAATTGTAATATAGGCAAACTGTGTATGTTTACCTTAAATCCATTAAAGTTAAAGGGAATCCCCAATCACCACACTTTGATACAGCAGCTATCATAGTTTTTTCATCCTCATCACTAAATATTGCCTGTCCTCCAGGTTTTTTGCCATGTTTCCCATTAAAACGATTGTATAATGTGCCATACGGAATTTTATACATTTTACTAGCTTTTAAAATTGAAAGTTCCCCATCAGCAACTTTTTGAAGAGCTTCTTCCACAACTTCATCACTCCTATTAGCATATGGGCGACTACCCACTTTTTTTTTGTACACGCGAACCACTAAAATAATTTAAATACATGAAATATAAACATAAATAAGATTATCAAAATCGCCCCAACAATACTATCAATGTCACCCCATGACAATAAACACTTAATTGTTTGTAACATAATGAATGAAAATAGTATAACATAGTATGATTTGAATCATGATGATATGTATATATAAATTAACTTACAAAATTATAATTAAATAACATTTGTACTTACTTTGCGCAGCTAATTTTAAAACGTTGTTATTTTACATTTAAAATAACGTTGAGATTGAAGATAACACACGTTTCAAATAATTGATGATAAATCGTATCTTAACCGTTATCATTATAAGACTATATTTCTTTATCAATATATACAATAAAAATTAATTTTTTGCGAACAGTGTAGCCATAGTGTACAATTTAATGAAATAAAACAACATTATCAAAGTCACCCGTCATTAACAATGTCGCCCCAATTTACGGTAATATAAATTTAATTCCATCCTCGAGTTCAGAAAATGTATTGTTGAATACAACAGTGTCTCACAGTTTTAACATACCACAGGTAAATATAGTACACATAATTTTTAGAATTTCAAATTAAGCTGATAAAAATTTAAAAATACATTGTAAATTATCAACAGGTACTGATTATATGGATTTAATATATTACCTATACATTGTTTGGCATTTCATATAATGCTTAGGTAATTTAAACAATTTTATAGATTGCCGGTTATATTTGGTGTTATATAGAATTCCTAGACATTTTATAAAACACCAATATTAGACATATTGCCGCTAACATATAATAACTAGACAAAATCATACAACCGTCTGGAAATACAGCTTAATGACACCGATATCAAGGGTTTATAAGTGACGGAATCCAGCAACTTCTATGACACACCGGTGACTCAAACAACCACGTGGTTGATTTAATATTATTTTATTATTAGGGCGCAAGCAAAGCCGCAAAGACCAAGCAACGGCACTAACGCACTTAGTGAAAGGCGTAAACCCGTATGTGGCGTATAACAGCTAGTATGCCCGAATAATGGCGATACACACATGCCACAAAAGACAAGACACAATGTCGCTCACAAAAAAATTGCTATACACCAACAGGCCGCTCAAGATGCCGGACAACGGTGAAACGGGAACAGAACGTCGCGTAAAAACGATACAAGTCTCCGGAACCAGTGGCGATGATGCCGGACGGCAAGTCCACGCAAGCGCACGCCAGTAGATGTCACGGCGCTAAAAGCTCACGTTCGAAAACGGACATTAACGTACGATCACGTTAACATTTCGTACGTTTGGCACCTAAATCAATTAACGACGTTGGGAGTTCAACAATCCTTCGATCCTTGCCACCGCCATCAACATCAACAGCTGGTAACACCTGCAATCATATTATCTTCGTTTTCGCCGTATTCGATCGTCAATTGTGACCAGTGATATCGTTATTATAGGAGATCAGTGCCATCGTCACTCGATAACCCAGCTGACTGTGCGTCACGGGGATTGATGCCGTCGAAATCGCCTAAATTCACCCTATATATTTGCTCAGCTCATGGTTCATCACGATTCACGGACCATCCAAACGAATGGGAGGAGGGATAATGATCGTCTGCCGTGTTCCGACTTGCCCGAAGTCTGATCCATCAACCTTCTGATACAGATTAAAGATCCCCCTTCGGAGTAGGCAGTTTACACTCTTTTCGTCGTGCGATAATATAATTCGCGTAGTTGCTAGCGTGCGCCATTTTCTGCTAAAAGGCCGTCGCCATCCTACCGAGGTTACACACTTACACCTGTCCTCACGCGAGGATATTGAACTCGAAGACGCGTTACACGCTATATTATTTATTAATTCGCAACGTTTTTCTTCCGCCGAACTTCGCCATGAGTTGCTGCTTAAGAATGCACGCGTGTTTTCGATGCCGCTCGCTCGGTTATGCCTGTTTATCAACACGACCAGGGAGTCACTTGTGTAGGAGGTTGATTAAAATATTTTGATTTATTTTGACATATTTGTATTATTATTCATACTATAGTCCGTTTCACAACACTAGATACTCGATAGCAGCGCGACCCATGGATAATTATTGCCAGGGTTTCAAAAAATGTTTCATATAAAAGCGTGCCAAATTAAAAAAAAAAAAAATACCATTATACAAACAGATAATGTTCTTACCATCAAATTTCATAATAGATCGATTTACTCTAAATTTTAAACTTTCGAAATTTTTTTACAAAATCGTTCATATTCCATGATAAAATTTGTTTCCCCCGTAAATACGCCACTGTCATGTACATTCGTACGGCCGTTTTTAAACTCCCTACACCACTTGTATATACTGGTACGATTCATATGACCTTCATCATAAACGGTTGAACACAGTTGGGCGTCGTCAATGAAGGCGATTTTACAACTGAACTCGTAGAAGTATCCGCAACACGTTGTAAAGAACTAGACGTGACAGGACACGATGACATAGTAAAAGTTAGATGTGCTGTCCCGTCATGAGTACCTACATAACAACCTAACGTTTAAGATCGTAACATAAAATGTCTTGAACGTAATAACATAATAAATTTAGATAAATTTATTGTACAGAAAAGAACAATATGTTAGTATAAACTACTAATTGGTGATGAACATAATATAACTAAAATACCTTGTTTCAAAATAATGTTTTTTTTTGTATTAAGTTACCCAAGTGAATAGTGATATTTTAAGTTATTTTGGAGATTATTTATTTTAAATCGGAACATTTTATATTAACTAATTGTTATGCAAAATTATAGTACATAGAAGTTGACCCTGCAAACGTTGTTTTGCCATATAAATTATATCTAATGAATATTTTGGTATTCAAATAAAAAATAATTAAATTATTGTAAATGAGAAGGAATGTCATATACTGGTATATGACTGAGATGAATGGAGCACTGTGAATGATGACGGCCCATAAGAATAACAAAACACAATTGGCATTGGTAGCAATGAGCCCACTCTATGATAAACTTGGACTTTGATTTTGAATGTTGAATTAAATTGTTGACCATTTGCAGCATTAATTTTAACTATTTCTGTTGCTCCGAACGATGTCATTTGGAAACATGAATTGAATGAGGCGCGGATCCAAGGGGGGGGGGGGGGCAAGGGGCCATGCCCCCCCCCCCCCATAGACTGGTGTATTCGACAGCCGATAAAATGCATTGTTTTGCCGATAACGTTTCAGCCGTGTCCATTTTTATCGGTCGCCGTCAAAAAACAAATCTAATCTAATCGAATATTTAAACTTGTTTGATACAATAAAATGTCTAACCTTAGCGCTTAAATGGATTTGTATTGCTTAATTGCTATAGAAATATTAGTATTGACTGTGAAGAAGTAATTGACGAATTAACATAGTATGTACAAAGTTCTTATCGGACTTAGGCTAAAATTTCATTTAAAATGCCCCCCCCCCCCGTAAATATGTTCTAGATCCGCGCCTGGTTGAATGTTCGAATTGACTTCAGAAACAGGTTAGAATCTGGATCCGTACCGATAAGTAAACCGTTCAATGGTTCAGGTGGTGTTTCAATTTCCGGTAGTTGCACTTTTCCTGACGCGCAACACATACCGGCTGGCTCATGTTTGAACTTAAGCGTATTACAATGCGGACATTCCTTGTCCATAGGCACCAATCACTACTTTCGAATGAGCGGAATATTTAATATAGGGCCCATACTCGAATGCTAGACGAAGGAATGAATTGGATTATTGGATGTAAATGCTCTATGTACTTGTTGGCATTGTCGGTCATTTGCTCTGCGTGTGTCAACTACGAATTGACGCGCTTCTAATCGTCTTTTTTGATTTTGTTCAGTTTGTGCCTCACGCAATCGCACCATGTTCACACGTGCATTTTCATTATTCGGTTGTGCTCTTCTATCTCGCATGATTGTACTTTTGGTCGTTCGACGGGCCAAATCAGACCCCTTGAGTCTTGCTGGCATTGTACAAAATACACAAATCGATACATTTACAGTTCATACATGTGATTATTAACCACATAGGTTTCGCTGAGACCTACTTACTATATACAAAAAATTTCATGAAATTCGGTCCAGCCGTTTCGGAGGAGTTTGGTAATAAACTTTATGACACGAGATTTTTATATATTAGATTAATAATCTAAGATCTAACAATTTTTATAAAATAAATATTTAACAAGTAGTGTCATCACTGGGTGGTTTCTTCCTTGTGTAGCAAATATTCTTATTGTACTCCAGGGCACAGATCATATATAATGTGTAATAATAATAATAATAAAAAAAAAAACACAATCTTTGTGGTTTGTAAAAATTGTTTGAGTATAATATTAAATAAACCATATTTGATAAGTATTATCTTGAGTCCTTAACCTGAAAATTATGAAATATTTCGTAAATGTTCAATTTTTATAGCTATAGGTATACAAAGTTGCTCATAAATAGTTCATATTGAAACAGAAAAATATTATAAATAACTAATAATAGTATTTATTTTTTTAGCAGACATTTAAAGTTTAAATTTGAGCGTAAAAGGATATTTACGTTAGGAATAAGAATATAAGTGATTTTGTTAGTTGTAAAACATTATTATTATTTGTAAGGATTTAAAACTTTTACGTATCATCTACATTTTACTATAAACAATGGCATTTTTAAAATATTGTGTAAATTGTTTATAAACCAATACCTGTTTACACTATTCACACTGTCTTATCATAAGACTTTTATATTAAAGTACATTATTTTTATTTTACAAAATGGATAAGTAACAATAAGCTAACATATTAAACAATAGTCAATATAGGTACATGATTATATGAAAAAATATACAACTATAAATATGTTTAAACAATTTGTTTTATTTAAATATATGAAATACATAAAATAAAAATAAATCCCTATCACAGCCTACCAAATAGATATTTACTAAAAAGATAGAAGAAATGTTTAAACTATAGACCTATACTTATAATTTAAGTATAAGGTCTGTAGTCTAGACATGTTATTACAAAAAAAAAACTAATTAGCTATTGAAATTAAATACTAGTCAAAATTGTTGATTGGTGTTTAAGAAAAATATATAAGTACATTTATAATTTTGAACTTAAAAATTAAAGTCAATCAACTATTAAATGATTCTTAAAGAAAATTGGTTTTGATGAAAAACACTAGAATAAGTTGAGAAAATATAAATTTGTTCCAAAATATGTTGTATATATAAAAAAAAAAAAATTACAAGAATCATTTAAATTACGTGAAAGAGTTACACAATA